TACAACTGAGGGAACTATATTCAAGGAGGTTCAGCCACGAATATACTGTTTTACCCTCTTGAACCTGAAAGTATCAGTTGCAGCAAATACACCTGCTGTAAGCACTTATTTTACTGTTTTATAAGCTGTTGGGTTGTGTCCTTGTGTGCTTACCTTGTCCCATCTCCAGACCAAGTCTAATTCATCAACGTCAAGCTGTAGAAGCTCTTGGTTGCTGAGAGTTTGAATTATATTAAGGCTATGTTTGGTATATGCGAGAGTTGTGGTTTTATCATTAAAAAGGTTGTTGTGAGCTTATTCAATGCTATACCTTGCTTGCTAATTTGTCCCAATCATCTGAGCAAGTTTATTTCTCCTATTGAAGACTGGGGGAGTGAAGTTTGAGCTGATTGTCAAGCTAGTTTACAATTTTACCCTTTGAAGCTACAAAGCTAGGGTTTGTTGAGGTGAAGATTGTTTAAGTAATTGCATTGATCTACCTTGCTTGTTTATCTGTCTTCATCAATTGAGCAAGTGTAATTTAGTGATATACAGCTGTAGGAGCCATTCACAGGCCTGAACAGAAGCTACATTGTGAAGAGACCATTCTACCCTTGAGATTGTGGTTTAAACCTTTTGTGAAGTGACATTGTTATACCTTGCTCCAATCACTGTGAATCTTGTTGAGCAAAGGTTTATGTAGATATCAAGGCCGAGGGTGACAAGTGCAGGTCAGTTCTGAAGCTACATTGTGAAGTTACTTTATTACCCTTGACTTTAGAGTTTTTGCCTTGTGGGAGCTATTATTGTTCTACCTTGCTTATCTACTAGTGTAAACCATACAAGCAAGTGTATCTGAGTTATTCAAGGCTGTGGGAACCTAGTTTGATCATCAAGTGAAGCTGCATTGTGAGTTGACAGTTCTATCCTTCTTGTTGCAAACAAGTGAAGCTAGAGTTTCTTGTGGTGTGGTACTTAAGGCTGTGTGTATTCACTCTTATTTTGTGTTCCAGCTTAAGTATATTGTACTTGGTGTGTTGACACCTCTATTCATTGTTGATTAAGCTATTAAGAGCTGTATGTGTCCAAGCATAGGGGCTATGGACTGGGGGAGTGCCTGCGTGCACATTGTTTGATCTTGTGTGTGTGTAAAAGCTGTTAAAGTCAGTGTCCTAGTGAGTACAAGTTGGTTGAAAAGTGGGGCAGCTGAGTGAGTAACTAATTGCATGTAGCAAGTGAAGATGGTGAGTTAGTGAGTGTGAATTGGTTGTGAAAGCTAGTATCTATTCTTGTACAAGGGTGTGTGCAGTGAGTGAGATAGCTGAATGTGTAACAAGGTACATACTACTAAAGGAGACATTTATTGACTGAGGCCAAGAACCAAGGTTTTTCCCTATTGATAGGGTTTCCTTTTATATCTTGAGTCCATGTAATTTGACTGTTCGCATTGATTCTATCTTCTATGTTATGCATGTTTATACTCAAGTGAAAAAGAGAAGAATCTACCTAGGACCAATTCAACCCCCCCTTCTTGGTCCAACAAATGATAATTTAATAACTGAACTTTGAATTGGATAATGAATTCTGCAAAACATTCAACCCCTTCGCAGGGCAGGGCAGGGTTTACACCTCTGATTACATCGACTACAAACAACGAAAACCTCTGCCACTCAATCCCCGATCACATTGCCAATCAACACCAACTAAACCACTCCTCTCCTACCCCCAAATCGTTCATCCATTCATTACAATCCAAAATTTTACCGTTGCTTCGTACATATTGTCCTAGATCCTGCTCAATTTGTATGGATGACTTCAAGTTATATAGAAAAATGATGAAAAACTTAGTAGTCAAACCATTTAGTTTCATTTATTTTCCTTCATTTCTTCTACAACCAAACTGTGGGAAAGGAAATTATATCTAGACGTGGAGAAGGAAAATATGTATATAGAAGTATGGGAAGAAAAATAGATATAATATAGAGAGTAAATGATATCATAGATTTCAAAAGGATCGACAGCGTCATCACCATGATCATCTTTGGTCTGAGCAATCCACTCCTCAGCATGAACCAGCGGGTCATATTTATCAACCCGAGTCATCTCTCTCTCCACCTCTTCATGGGACACGTATGATGGTGCAAAATCTAATGGTATTGAAGCTAGTTTTTAACCTACATATTTTGGTGTGTAATCACGTGTGTGTGTGTGTGTGTGTGTGTGTGTGTGTGTGGAGAAGGAAAATATGAATATAGAAGTATGGGAAGAAAAATAGAAATAATATAGAGTAAATGATATCATAGATTTCAAAAGGATCGAAAGCGTCATCACCATGATCATCTTTGGTCTGAGCAATCCACTCCTTGGCATGAACCAGCGGGTCATATTTATCAACCCGAGTTATCTCTCTCTCCACCTCTTCATGGGACACGTATGATGGTGCAAAATCTAATGGTATTGAAGCTAGTTTTTTACCTAAATATTTTGGTGTGTAATCATATATATATATATATATATCCATATCTTCCATACTATATTTGATGTGGCTTTGGGCCATTTTAGTTGGTTATTTTCTTTGAAATTTGCATCTTCTTCATTCTTTAATCTTAGCATATTTTACTATATTTGTGGCAGTAGAGGTGGAGAGATGGTTGGAGGTGGCACCCTGGTGGTTGAGGACAGAGAGAGTGGAGGCATGGCTGCAGTGGTAGTGAAGATGAAATTTGGAGGGGGCAGGGAGTGTGTTTCAAAGAGAAGAATGTTTTTGGTAAGAGTGGTGAATGGAAGATTGCTAGAGATGGAAAAATAAAAGGAAAAAGAAAATTGTCCACTAATAAAAGTGTTAATAGGATATATTGGTCATTTATGTCATGTTTCAGGGTTAAAGAGGTTTTTTAGTTAGAAAAGGAGTAAAATATGTCATTTTTTAAGGTGGAAGTTATCCCGCACAAAACCTTAGGAATGTTAGTTCAAACGGAGTGGAATAAGGCCAACCTCAAAGGGTCGGTGTAATTTACCCTAAAAAAAATAAAGGAAAAAATGGTTGTGGAGATTCGGTAGTGAACGTCATCGGCTGGGGAGAAGGGTTGTTTCATGTCGTTTTGGGGAGAAGGGAGGTGGGTGGTCCTCTTGTGCGGTGTAGTTGAACCCCGGGCGCGCCCCGGGGGGGGGGGGGGGGGGGGGGGGGGGGCGCGTTTGGATCGTCCGCTTTCCAGTTTGTTTCGATTGTCGTTGAATGTGCGATTTCGGCGACAGTTCCAAGATTGGGAATTGGAAGGATGTGTGTGCACTTCCAGATCTATTGTATAAACAGGAGATGGATGGTAGTGGCCCTAACTCATTCTTTTGGGTGCCTTCTTCTCGGGGGAGGTTTGAGGTTTGTTCCATTGTCTTTTCGACTTATCTAGTTTGAGGTTTGGCATTCGAAGGCTCCGCTCAGAGTGGCCTTTTTTTGTTTGGACTGCAATTTGGGGCAAGATTTGACGATGGAAAATCTGAGAAGGAGAAGACAGGTTATAGTCAACTTGTGTTGCTTGTGTAAGAGGGATGGGGATTCTGTGAATCACCTCCTGCATTGCCATGTCGCTCAAGACTATTGGAGCCTTATTTTTGGTTTATTCGGCAACCATTGTGTTATGCCTCGGTCTTCGTGGGGTTTGATCGACGCTCGGAGAGGCTGCTTAGTGGGGAGCCCATGCTCATGATTTTTGGAGGGCGGCCCCCTTTTGTGATTGGTGGTACATTTGGAAAGAACAGTATAGAAGATCTTTTTAAGGGGAGGAATCTTCTTTTGGGGCTTTGAAATTTCTTATTATTAGTTCTCTTTTTAGTTGGGTGACAAGGAGAGATTGTAAATCTATAGAGGGGATTATTGATTTTTTGGTCTCCTTGGGTCCTTAGGACCTCATTTTTGGCTTTGACCCTTGTATAGCTTCCGGGATGCGTTCCCCTTTTGAACACTTTCTAATATATTCTTATTTATCAAACAAAAAAAAGGAGAGAAGGAAAGTGATACAGGGAGGGTTATCAAACTTTTCAATGAGTAATTATTAAATTGTTATATAGATAATCTCATAGCTTTTATGAAATAAAATAAAACCTTTGTTTTCCATTTTTTCCCTGATTCAGCAAGAAACCTCATAGCTCTTGTTCAAGCAAGTTGTTTCCAAAGTAAATTTAGTTAGCTGCTAAAATAGAATGTCCTTATAACACAATTTTTTTTTTTTCCCCCTAATTGGTACTCACACACACTTGTCTCTTTTGAGACTTGAACTCTAACCTCACTTTTGGGGGTACGAGGTTGATACCGCTAGGCCACTGACCCGTTGGTAATTTTTTTTTTTTTTTTTTGACAAGTAAAAATGTATTAGAAAGCTTTTGACGCATCCGAAGAACTACACAACAGCCAAAGGCAAGAGAGGCCTAAGAATTTAAAAGAGCCCAAAAAATCAACTATCTCCTCTATAGATTTACAACTTCTCCCCATAACCCAACAAAAAAGCGAAATAACAATAAGAAATTTAAGTGTGGATTCCTCTCCATTGAAAAGCGGGTCTTAGTCCAGTCAAACATTCTTGTCAAGTGTTCGGGTACAAGTTTGAGATAGAATACTGGATGTTGTATATCTTTTCGGAAAGCAAATATGTTTGACTGGACTAAGTCCCACTTTTCCCCATGAATTTTTGCCACAAACTTTTTTTCGTGTTACTGTTCACCAAAGAATTTAATTAAAATTAGCAAAATTTTAAAGAGTGAACAAGAGCCATTCACCACCACCAAGTCTGGGAACATTCATCTAAATACCTACCAAGTTTTACATCTGCACCACTCCCAAACTGTCATTTAGCAGAGAAGTGACAAACTAAACAATTCTCTTCTATTTCATTGAAAAGTATGACATGATGCTTTGCGCCAAAAAGGTCAGAAATTCACATTCATGTTTTTAATATAAGAAATACACAAATAGATTTTCAGCGAAATGTAAAATAAGGTGAAAAAAACAAATCCAGATAGTGACATACACTGAAAGCCGCGCGCATTACTGCAAACTCAGCATTAGTTACAGGAACTGTAAAGCGATCATTAGTTTTGAGGATATTATTGACGACACCTGCAAAATTGCATATTTGAAGCAAATTGCTTAGCTGTTTCCACAAGAATGAAACAAGCAATTCAAATTTTTTTTTTTTTTATAAGTAAGAATTCATTAAAAGAGTTCAAAAGGGGAACCCATCCCTCAAAAACAACACAAGGCCAAATAGGGCCTCTACACCCTCAACAAATCCAAAAACTCTGCAAGCTCATCCAATGATTTACAATTTCTACCTCAAACCCAACAAAAAAGAGTGCTAAGAATGGAGAACTTCAACGACCTAATAGGAATTTCCTTTCCTTCAAAGGATCTCCTATTTCTTTCAAGCCATAGACACCACCAAAGCAATAACATGAAAACTTATGTATAACAATATATATATATGAAATTAAAAATCAATCTATGCATACATCAACTACAATTTGGATGTCCAGAAATTCAAAAATGAAAGCTTATCGTATAAAATGGACATGGACATGTATAAAATAATAAGAGCCATTACCAAATAAGCAACTAGCAAGCCATGGACGTGTATAAAATGGTTGCACATCAAATTATGATTATCTATATCCATTAAAATTTTCAAATATTAGCTTTTGATTCGATAAAGGTCTTGGACAGTCCAACAGTATCTCTCATCACTACCAGCCCCACAGTTAGGAGTCAATTCTATCTACCAATAAATTGACTCCAAGCAAGAACGTAAATCAACTATGAACTCACATTTATGGAAGAGATGTGCAACTTGAGCAGCATTGATGTAAAGACATCTAGAAAATTAAATATGTCAGTAATCTAGTCCAGCCCAAGAAATTATTATTTAGCACAAAGCGGGTTTGTGGAATCTAATCTTCATTGAGACAATAGTGGGTTTGTGGAATCTAATCTAGTTCAGGCCGGTAACTTCAAGTAATTCAATATTTCCATTAATTACTATTCTTTTTGCTCATCTGAGTCTTCATGTTTCAGTGGCTTAGTAACAGCACCATTGCATTGAAGGATGAAGTATATTAAGATCATTTTATTTTATTTTTTTTGATAAGTAGATTGTATTTAAAGCGTCCAAAAGGGGAACGCAAACCTCAAAAGATACACAAGGCCAAATAGGGCCTCTACAACTCCAAGAGCCCAAAATATCAACAATTTCCTCCATAGATTTACAGTTTCTTCCTAGAACCCAACAAAAAAGGGTGCTAATAATAATAGAGAACTTAGATTTAAAAAAATTAAAGGTAATTCAAAAAGTTAGTTGAGAACTAATATCCATAAAAACCTATTCATCCCTTATAAGTCAAAGTAACCACCTACGAAGCACGGACACAGGTACGTTACAACATGGACACGACAATACGCCAAATCTCGCAAGGCAAGGATACGGTAATAAAATAATAATATACTCCCTCCATCCCAAAATAAATGTCCTGTTTTGGGAATCTAACTTTTTAAGAAGATGAGTTTTAGTTATTTTTATTGTATTGGTAGTGAATGAATTACCAAATCTATCCATAGTGGGTTCAAATGGATGTGATGGTTTACTTTTTATAAGTTCAATGCAAGAGGGTTAAATTAGTAATGTTGCAAAAAATAGTACTTTGACTTTTCAAATGGGCCATTTATTTTGGGAGAGACAAAAACGGAGAGGTGGAAATTTATTTTGGGACAGAGGGAGAAATTTTATTACATAATAAAAAATAAAATAAAAATTCCTCAATTTCTCCTCTATCCATAACCCACCCATTTAAATTAGGCCCACTATTCATCCCAGATTTCTTTTAAAAAACATAAGGGTACATGGACCTAAATTTCATTAAATTTAATAAATAAATAAAATGAAGAAGAAGAAGATAATATCTTTGTAATCCAAAAAGCGCAAGTCTTACCTTTGTGACCAAACAAGTGGTAAAAGAATATAAGATTGCAATCTAATCCCTCTCTCTCTCTTCGTCACCCTCTTTCAGTCACAAACGTCTCTCTTCCGGCAGTTGTACTCTCACAGATCTTTCACATTTTTTCATCTTTTATCTCACAGATCTCTCTCGCCTATTGTCTCCCTCATTGGTTTAACCATACACATCTCTACATCAACCGATTTTGAGGACATTACGCTCAAGTGTTGTCTATGGAAATTTCAAGTATCATATACCGAAAATCACGATCTTGGCAAAGGAGAATACAATCTAATTACATGAATTTTTTTTTTTTTGATAAGTAATATTTGCATAAAAAGGCATTCAAAGGGGAGCAGATCCCTCAAAAACTACAAGGACAAATAGGGCCTCAAAATGAATTTGAATGATCATACATCACTTGAACTCACAAGTTGAATGATTGAATAATAGGTGAACCACTCTGAATCATTGCATCTAGTTACTGCAATCTACAAAATTGGTCCAAGAAAAAGATGACAAGCTTTAGACCAAGGCATCATTATTAGTAATATGGTGTATCTGTATGGCGAGGAAAAAGGAAATTTATGATGGAAAACATTCTATTTGGAACCAAGGTGGAACATTTTGCGATTTCATAATCACCAAAAGGGGAAAACTTGAAAATATATATATATATATGGTAATTGATACCATGAAACAAAACCTTTATTTTTAATGCATATGCTAGTGTGCATTTTTATTAAGCAACATTGATATGAGCTTATTGCCAACTAGCTAAAGAATTTCTAAACAAAAACTTACTTAAAGGTCAAGGTAATCGAATGAGCTTGGCTGAAAATTTTCATAATACAAATTTTTACAGACCTCCCAAGTACTGGAATCAAACTAGACCATGACTAACAGGAATTTTTTTTTTTTTTTTTTTGACAAGTCATGACTAATAGGATTTTAGCTGGAAATTAGCAGGCGCAGAGGTTCAGGAGTTGAACTTAGAGTCAAATCTAGATGGTTGTAGACTTGTAGGCAAAGCAATAGAACGGAGGTGGTGCCAGCGGTGAGGCTGGAGCTAATGGAATGGAAGTGGAAGGTAGCAAGCAGATCAAGGTGATGCAATACTGTTGGTACTAATGAAAGGGACAACAAAAACATCAAAACAGAGGCCAGAAAGTAGAAAGAAAATTACCTAGCTATGATCCTGCCATGGCCCTGGGAAGGGAGGACTCGAGACAGACCAAACCTTCTAGTATCTTCTTAAGTGGTTGCTCTGAGGCTCGATCTCCACGCCAGTGGTGGATCTGATTTACCACTGAACCAGACGAAGACCCTCTATACAGCAGTTTAGGCTTCCTCATTATAGGAAATATATGGAGCTGTTTAGGAATTATAAGGAGTATGTTAAGCTAGGTCTTATGTATTTCAATTTACCTAATTTTAGGAACTAGCCAGTGTTATGAAAGGCTCAAGGTGCACCAAGGTGCTGGAGGTCCTTTGGAGCCTAGGAGCACAGCGAGGCGCGCACCTGAGTGAAGTGAGGCGCACAATTGAAATTTTGAACTACCATAAAAGCATTCATATCTCATAAGTCGTATCAATATTCTAAAAATTAATATCAAATATAAAAGTAAATCCATCAACTATATAAGCATTCAAGAACCATAGAACATAGCACAAATTTGTTTTCTTGAAAGGTAAAACAGAATTTGTTTTTTTGAATGGAAAAACAAAGCACAAAAAGAAATAAATCTATTAACAAAACCATTAAAAAAAAAAAAAAAACAAACTGTTAAGAAGAAGAGGAATAAAAACAGAGCCCAAAAAAAAAGACGCAGAGACAAAAGGAGATGAAGAGAGAGAAAGTGTGAAGAAAAAGGAGAAAAAACAGAGCCCAAAAAAAAGAAAAAAGACAAAGAGAGAAGAGAACTAGACGATGAGAGAGACGTAAGCAAAGATGAGAGGAGAGAGAAGTAGAGGAGAATAGAGAGAAGAAGAAGAAAGTATTGGCAAGGCTTCATCGTTTGTCTCTGCAACTAAGGCTTTGTCGTTGGTCTCACAATCTCACTCTTTTTATGTTCGGTTGACACTTTGACTCTTGGGCTTTCTTATTTGTTTATTTTTTTGAACAAAAGTTCCTTCTCTCATACGCTTGGGCTTTCTTATTGGTTTATTAAGTTGCCAAAAGTACCCTTTTTGGCTAAAGAAATAGAATAATCAATTTAAAAAATAAAAAATAAAAAAAAAACAGTGAGGCGCGCCTGGCAAATAGGACGAGGCATGCGCCTGGTAAACATCAGTGAGTGTAGGATGACAACAGGAGCTAGACCTGCGCCTTGAGCCCTAGGCGCGCCTTTAACAACACTGGAACTAGCATCAAATTAGGTAGCCCTTATGCACCTTTTTCGCTTGTTTTCAGACACAATTGAAGTCACTTATATCAAGGAAGTCCTTAATGACCAAAGTTTCATGATTCTATTGCAATGCTAATTGAGGCCTAACTACAAAACAACATAATTGTGAGCCATGCTGCAATTATGGCATGCATCTTCTAGAGGTGAGGGAAAAAATATACTATTGAAAGAAAATGATGTTCACTTAAAGCTATGAGTTGGATCTGTGGCGAAAGCCGCCAAACAAGAGTTAAACAGCATCATATGCACTATGTTTCTACCAGTTCTAATAAATAAATAAATAATCCTACAGTGACTAAGTGCTTTGCCGACACATTCCTAACATTAGCATGGTAGATTGGTGCAACCACTGAAATCAAAATAATCAGTCTAAAAAACTGGAATTATTGCATTTATAGATTCATGTGAGCAAGAAAATTTCATTACCCCAAGAACTATTCAAAACTCAAGAGCATTAATTGTGATAAAAATGTTAAAACAATATATACAAATACAGAGAGATGGAAGTAACAATTAAAGATTTGCATTTTTAAATATAAACAATCCTGTATAACCACATTCACATATAAAAATACTCACCCAATGAAACAAAATAGCCAGTAGAATCTGGATATGGCTTAATGGATAAGCTCTTCCTCACTTGACCTGCATTACTGTACCAATAAATTCATTGGTTCAATCCACTGACCAATATTTAGAAAACAAGATTAAGCATGACTACAAAAATAGGATCACACTTTTAACTAGCATCAAAACAATATTCTTGGCCGACGCATATTCCATTTTGAATTGAATTATGTTTCCACAAGAAAAGTATATAAGAAAAACCTTGAGAGCATCGAAGGATCATGAAAGAATTCACAAGAATCATTGGAACCCAAACTTATCAAAGATCCAACCTCCGTTGCTGATAGAGCAAACATCTGCCAAGTGCTTTAAATAGGTCAGTGAAGCCACAAAACAAATAAGACAGCAGGGGGAAGAGAGACAGAGAGAGAGAGCTCTTTAGGCCTTAGGGTGAAAAACATATATCAGATTACACATATGAAATAAGGATCTAATTTAGTATCAGTTGTGCACACATCTCCATGGCAACAAATGATATGACACCTTTAGATCCATTTATGCATAAATCATAGATTACAGTCCTCAAGTTAGCTCAAATGTAGCTGACTTGGCCCAACTAATATCCAACCTTGGTTTTGTAGAAGCAAGTCAGATATTAGAGAAATAAAACCGTATACACCATCCTCATGGGGTTAAGTGAAGGAAAGGCCCCAATTGTAGAAACAAACCCATATAGACCATCCTCATGGGGTTAAGTGAAGGAAAGGCCCCATTGTAGAAACAAACCCCCAACCAGTTCAGGTTATACTACACTTGGAAGAAGTAGAAAGAAAGAAATATAATGATAATCTGATTCTTTGTCATGGTACTAAAAAGGAGAAAATTTGAATTTCCTTCTTCCTAAGACAATTACATCAGCATTTCTTGTTATAAATCTTCAAAGAAACTTTAACATATGAAAAATGAATTTTGTTTGTGCACATTAAAAAGTAACATAAACAGCGGCATTGCCCATCACAACACTATTTGCTAACTTATTATTAAGATTGTAATGAAGAAACATGTCAGCATCGTTACCTGTCTCTTTTCAGAATCATACTTGCGCTCCCCAATAGCAGGAAGAAATGTCAACATGATAACACCACGGCGGTCAACTCTAAGACCACCAGACTGCAAAAGAACAAATGAAGAGAAGCATCATTCAAGCCCGTCAAAGAAAAACATTGTTAATATGTGTGTATAAATGTATACATATGTATATATAAATAAGAAAATATATTTAAACAAGGGATTGCCATGTTCTTGTTCGGAGCTTTAGTAAATTGATTTTACATATTAAAGGTTAATATTAATATAAAAAACCAGCACAGTTATACTTCTGTTTTAGTGAATGTTGGGAGAACAGGAGAAGCAGAAAGTGCAGCTTTGCCCTTGTAAACAGAATAAGGTGCAAATATTCGGCCCCCGTGTTTCCCTGAATACTCAAAAACAAAAATCCATACAATTATCAGACTAATAAATACAATAAAAGCAAAATGTAGAGAGTAGTGAAGAAGGGACAATTTTTTTATTATTACTATTTTTTTCTTTTTTGACATGTGAGTAATGAAAAATGGACAAATGAAATGATTAAGTACCATCAGCAACAAAATTTGGTCTAGCAGTCGAAAAGCCTGCCCAGGACGTACAATAGTGCAATGAGAAAGTATCTCTAGCATCTTTTAAAGAAAATCTTCCCTGAGACAGCTCATTCCTGTTAGAGAAAGAACAGGACACAAACTTCAGTGAACTAAGCATGTTTATGTCACCTCTAATTTTTTATTTTTTTTACCATGGCAAGTAACTCACACGTCCAGATCTGTCATTATTCATTAGAAATATGCTGCTATAGGGGGACAATCTGCAAATGGATATAGTTGACCTAGGAAAACACTGAAAAGCCTTTTTGAGTAGTGGCTTAATCATAATATGAAGTGAATAATTTAGCAAATCGTTGGGCCCATTCACTCTAGCATACCGGCTAACCAACACTGAGCAACCAATCAGAGGGCTAGAATAAACAGTAACTCTACTTCTAGAAACCCTAATTTCTTCAATCCTTAACTAGTACCAATACAACTATTTAAATCCCTAAAACATGAAGAACCAAAATGCAAAATGTAAAATCCGAGGCTTTGTTTCTAAATATTAGCCAAACAAACTTGAAATAATAGACTAGGAGAAAAATAATAATCTCAAAGAGCAACAAAGAAAACCACTCCCTCCGATGAATAACATAGAAAAGATATTAGAGAAATTAGAGAAAACAGAAACCATTGATGGGACGGTTAGGGTTAGGGTTAGGGTTAGGGTTAGGGTTAGGGTTATTTAAACTCAAATACATGCTTGAGCAGAGGTAACTAGGGTTTTAGCCAGGTTGGGTTTATGGCGTTACCTGAAGTGTAAGAGCTTTGCCAGTTTCGTCATCGCTATGTAGTTGATCGTTTGAGACGCGCAAGAGAGAAGGAGAGAGTGACTCTGAGAGTGTGTGGGTGGTATTTGTAAGTAGCCGCAGGCTTAAATATTCAGGCGGTATGAAAAATTCGGCGTTGTGTGTGGGCGCGCGCGCGCGCACACGTGTGTGAACACACAAAACCCTGATAAATGTACTAAATTATAGAACTCTACTAAATTACACAAAACCCACAAAATTTTTGTAAAACTCTATTTATGGTACTAAATTATAGTTACTAATGATGATTTTTATATAAAAATTAAAGCTTGATAAATGTTTTGTAACTTATAGAATTTATATTTTTATATATTTTTTAATGGAGTAAGTGCAAAAAACACCCCTGAAGAATACCTTTCATAGCATTTTTACCCCCTATTTAAAAAGGTGTGCAAAAAACACCCCTATAGTTTTTTATTTGTGCAAAAAAAACTCCTCAATTAATATAATACCCATTTTACCCTTTACTCTTCCAAAAATGCCCCTACCAAACCATACTGTCCACCCTAAAACCCAACTACCGGACAATGCGAGATTGAAGCCTTCTTCATTGCCGTGGAGTGTCGCACCACCGTCGGCGACCATAACGAGTCTTAATGGAACACTACCTACATGTTTGCTAAATCCACCAAACCATCTTCATCATCTTCTTCAACGTGAAGAACAAAAAAATAATAATAATTAATAAATAAATAAAGCAAACCCATTTACCATCACCTTCACCCCTCGATCACCACCAAAATCCAAATTCCAGTAGCAGAATACATCATCGCTGCTACACCACCCACCAAATCCGCCGGCCATATATATCACACTTCTCTACACTGCTGCGCCAGCCCGTCTCCACTGACCGAGTTCATCCTTGCCGAACTCACCACTGAGAAGGTTCTCCTTGCCCACTAGTGCTGCGCCATAAGGTCGTAGCCGATTCATCGCGGCCGTTCACCAAGGAAATAGCCATTGAAGCACTATTTGATTGAGATAGGGAAGACAAGGAGAGGATCAACTTTCTGACTTGCTGCCTAAAATGCAATTTGGATAGCTTTCACCATGTCAAAATTGAGAATTTCTTATAGAAAGCGGAGGTGCTGGACAAGAAGAATGTTTGTCTGGTAATCATTATTGCTTATGGATAGATACATATAGATATAATGACACTAATTCCTTATAGATTAGTGAAAATATTCTTCTTCTTTTTTTCTTTTCTTTTTTTCAAATTAAAAGTATCAAAAGAGGTACATTGTTTTGTGAGCAAAGGTTGGGATTGGGATTGTATGGGTGGTGGACGCGAATTGGGTTTCAGTACTTGGAACTTCACTGGAAAGAATGGAACTAGGTGGTAGCGGCGGCAACCAATGATGAAGAAGAAGGGCCAAACCCTTTTTAGTCATTTCACAAAATATATAATTTTTTATATATGTTATAAAATGTGTTACTAAGGTTATTTTAGTCTAATTTTTATAAATAGGACCTATTTGCACAAATGTCACAGTTTAGGAGTATTTTTTGCACGAGAGGGGTGCAATATGCACTGTAAGCATACTATAAGGGTGTTTTTTGCACTTCACCCATTTTTAATTGTGTATAGTTTTATAAAAAAAATAAATAGGCAAAACAGTTTCAGCCTATAATGCCTTAGAGAGTAATAATTATCATCTCAAAAGAAACAAAATAAGATTTTCCATTGATGAATGAATGAAAACTATAAATATTTAAAAAATATATAAAAATAAAAATTCTATAATTTACAAAACATTCATAAATAAATACTATATAAAAATTCTATATCTTATAAAATCTGAAAAGGTACCAACAATTTTTAGATTGTAATAATTGTCACCTAATAAGAAACAAAATATATTATGAAATCCAAAACTATAACTGTTTAAAAATAAAAGTAATCCTAAATTATTTATTTCTCAATCTTTATCTTTTTTGCATATCTCAATTCTTCATTCAATGAATCATTGTCAAGTGTCAATTCTTTTAATTCTTCCACCGCAAAATAAGTTTTCACAATTTGTTGTTGAGTATTGTCTATTTTCACCAGAAAAAGAAAAGATTTTCCTTTACAGCTTGTCACTTTGTTGCTGAATTTATCCATATCCTACAAAAAGAACAAATGTAATTTAGAGCTATTGAGAAATTCAAGTAAGTATTTTTTTTAATTTAATTAAAATTTTATGAATAAGGGTGGAAAATTACCTCAATTTGTAATTGTAGTAAATCATTTAGTGAATAGTTTGTTAATGTTTGGCAATCATTGAACACTGTTAGGGTTGCAAGTATTGTAATATGTTTCACAGTTCGCACTTTAATTATCATCATGAATTTGCACGAGTAAAGACAAAGAATTATGTATTTGTAGTATTATTAAACCATTGAAATAAATACAATAATAAGATTCTAAGATAGAATAATACTTTTGAAAGCATTTTGGATCTATTGTGTTGCATCGACGACAATATACTTTGTCTTTTTTAACTTTAATTTTCTTGTTGCATTTCTCACACACGTCGTACCACGGTTCGCGATCATTAACGACCTTTTCAATTGTTGTTTTGAAAGAGTAATTTGTAAAATATAACTTCTCAATATATAAATTGAATATAAAAATGTGATACACAATTAAGGAAGATTAAGAAATATACTGAAATTTAATACCTCATTATATCAATTAATAAATATTTTTTTATATTAATAAATAAATACTGAAATATAGAAATATTGAAATACTAAAACTCTATAAAACTATTTAGTACTACACTTGATCTTAGCCAAAAGGCCGAGAAAGGTGTTAATAATATTTCTTTAGGTTTATAGTTTTCTAAGAGACTTCCATGTAATCCTTTATAACTCAAAACCGATGTGGGACAATAAAATTCAACTTAATTTTAGCCAAAAGGATGAGAAATGTGTGACACTAGATCTTAGCCAAAACGAGAAAGGTGTGATTAATATTTCTTTAGGTTTAGTTTTATAAGAAGCTTCCATGTAATCCTCTATAACTAAAAATTGATGTAGGACAATAAAATTCAACATGATTTTAGCCAAAAGGTCAAGAAAGGTGTGATTAATATTTCTTTAGGTCTATAGTTTTATAAGAGGCTTCCATATAATCCTTTATAACTCAAAACCGATGTGGGACAAAGTAACAAGCTACTCTAGTTGACCTGACCCAAAAAATTTAGTACTACACTTGATCTTAGCCAAAAGGGTGATAAATGTGTGATTAATATTTCTTTAGGTTTATAGTTTTGTAAGAGACTTCCATATAATCCTTTATAACTCAAAACTGATGTGAAACAATAAAATTCAACTTAATCTTAACCAAAAGGCTGAGAAAGATGTGATTAATATTTCTTTAGGTCTATAGTTTTATAAGAGATTTTCATGTAATCCTTTATAATTCAAAATTGATGTGGGACAAGAAAAATGAATTTTATTAGGTAATTTGTAATTTGAATTAAACTCTTGAAATAATTTTTTATAAATTTTATTAGGTAATTTGTAATTTGAATTAAACTCTTTAAATAATTTTTAGGTAGTTTTTTTATATTAATAAATAAATATTGAAATACTGAAATGCCAAAAAAACTTAGGTGTGACACTTGATCTTAGCCAAAAGGCCGAGAAAGGTATGATTAATATTTCTTTAGGTTTATAATTTTATTAGCGGCTTCCATATAATCCTTTATAACTCAAAACCGATGTGGGATAATAAAATTCAACTTGATTTTAGCCAAAAGGGCAAGAAAAGGTGAGATTAATATTTCTTTAGGTCTATAGTTTTATAAGAGGCTTCCATAAAATCATTTATAACTTAAAACTGATGTGGGACAAAGTAGTAAGCTAGCTACTTTAGTTGACCCGACCCAAAAAAATTTAGTACTACATTTGATCTTTGCTAAAAGATCGAGAAATGTATGATTAATATTTCTTTAGGTTTATAGTTTTATAAGAGGCTTCCATGTAATCCTTTATAATTCAAAATCGATGTGGGACAGTAAAATTCAACTTGATCTTAGCCAAAAGGCCGAGAAATGTGTGATTAATATTTTTTTAGGTCTATAGTTTTATAAAAGGTTTTCATGTAATCCTTAATAATTCAAAACCAATATGGGACAAGAAAATTGAATTTTTTTAGTTAATTTGTAATTTGAATTAAACTTTTTAAATAAATATTTATAAAGTTTATTAGGTAATTTGTAATTTGAATTAAACTCTTTAAATAATTTTTAGGTATTTTTTTTTTTAAAAAAATAAAAACTCTTTTTCTATGTTAATAAATAAATACTGAAATACTAAAACTCTTAGCCAAAAGGCTGTGAAAGGTGTGATTAATATTTCTTTAGGTTTAGAATTTTATAAGAGACTTCCATATAATCATTTATAACCCAAAACCGATATGGGACAATAAAATTCAACTTTGTTAACCACTAATTGACTCTAGAGGGGGGGGGGGTGAATAGAGTCAATGGCCAATTTTCACAATTTATAAAAATGATTTCTAAATAACTATCATGCAATAATCAATTGAGATAGACAAGCAATATATAACACAAGTATAAAAGAGATAGGGATAAGAAATTGCAAACAATGACTCCGTAATTTAGATGTCTCCGTAATTTAGCGAGGTTCTGAAACTCCTACTCCTTGGCTCAAGATCCCCCTTGAGACTTCCCAAATTCACTACAGCTTCTCCTTAATGGTGGAGAGCAAACCTTCAAATAAAGCAAGCCCCAAGCCCTTGCTTCTCTTCCAGGAGAACACCCTTCTCCTAGACTTCTTTTGGGTCACACCAACCCTTACAAGTTTGTAGCAATATAAATGAAAGTATAAGATTATTTCTCTCTCAAAGAAAAGTTATACAAATTCAGCTCACAACTAGAGTAGATATGAATATAAATGAAGCTCAAACTCTGAGACGATATAAGAGGATAAATGATATGAATGAATGCTCGAAGGAGAATATTTATGGCTCTTGAATGCTCTCTTGAATACTCTTTCAAGTGGTGTAAATGTTCAGCAGACCAACTATCTATATTTATAGAGTTTTGGAGCTCAATATAGCTGTTAGAGGTGGTTGGAGTTC